CCTCAAAGAAACATTCCCCGCCCCTCTAACGCTGTCGGCGCCAGAGGTACCGCCAACATGTATGTGTATGCAATGTGTTGTTCATCTATATTCTAGGGCTGTCACATGTGTTCGGATGTCTTAAAGAATTTGCAGATGTGCTTTCATTTGGGTTCTGGTGGATCTCACATGTCTTGGAAGGTCCCCAGAGGACTTCAAAGGAGTTCTAATGTTTTCGGTGGGTGTTCAAATGTTTTCGGGACCCAGGGTGCATTCCATCGGCTGCGCCTCGCCGAGAGCGTTCTGGGGATGCTGGAACCGTCTTGAGCGTCAGCTTCAGGCCCGAGCTATGGTCCGAGAGCCATCAGGGTTTGTTTCGATCCGAGCGATCCGATTTGATATCGATTCTGGCCAGCTCGACCCGAATCGATTCCGACATATTCCGACAGTCCATTGCGGCCCGATGTTTGGCATGGGCGCTATTTTGCACCTTGGCGCAGCCGATACCCTTCGGAATTCGGCTCCGTGCCGATGTAGCCCGTTCCGGCACACATTCCGATTCGACCAAGTTTTCAGAGTCTGAGTTGATTGATCTTGCATTGGGTCTATCTTAAGGCCTTAGAAGCCCATCGGAAGCGACAAGGTGAGGAGCGAAAGCATGCGAAAGAGGGACCACTTTGGGTTCAGGAAGGGCTTGGCTTTCGGGCCCTTCCGTCTGGGTCGGAGAGTCTCCTCGTGGCCGAAGCTCGCCGTGGACAGATGCCCCTGCGTTCCTGATCTGGCGTTCCTAATAGTAGCACGATGGCTGTACCGCCTCCACCTCTGGAGTGCTTGGGCCTCTCGGGGGCGTCCTCGGAACAGGACGGGCCCTTTGGGAGCCATCTTGGACCATCTTGGACGTTCCAGCGCCTCGTGAAACCCCCCCCTCCAGGTCTAGGGGACGGGGGTAGCGGAAGGGGTGAAGCGGAGCGGAGTGGACAGACTGAGACGTCCCACAGGTCGATGAGACGCCCAGCGGCCGCGGCGGGCCGGACCTCCGAGAGGCCATCATAACGCTTGCGGACAGGTGCTTCAGGTCTCGGGCTGGTCGAAACGCTGGGCGGCCCCGCGGCGGACTCGGCCCGCGTCAGGGCCTTCGGCCACAGGCCGCGCGCGATACGGCCCAGATAGTTCGTGCCCGTGGTAGTGGGGCGGCCACCTCCTCGGGCTGGGTTAGTTGTTTGTCCTAAACGGTTGGACCCAGCCCTCCCCAGTCGGCTTGGGTTTTCTCCTCTCCCTGCTCCTGCCTCTGCCTGCCCTTCTCTTTCCCTCTCTCCCGCTCAAGCCTTCGGGGCTCAAAGCCCTGGAGCCGACCTCAGGAGGTCTGGGCGCCCTCGGCGCCCGGAAGCGTGCGTGCCATGGCTGCCTGGCGTCTGGCGCTGGCAGGCCCGGCACGCGGGCTGATCGCGCTGATCACCAGCGCGGCCGCCTACGACTGGCGCGGGCCGCTCAGCTCTGCTTTTGCCCGCGCTGGATGGGGCCGCCCGGCTGTGGCCCAGGAGGTCCCGTTCGGGTACACCGTGCCGTACTACGACGACTCCGAGTACGGCATGGAGATCGGCGAGCACGAGGAGGAGGGTGGGGATGCAGGCAGCCCCCAGGCGCCGCCCGACAGCGGGCCGCCGGGAGCGCCGCCCCCGCCTCCCGCCCAGGCCGCCGGAGGAGTCGAGAATGGCAGCCATCCCACCAAGGACCCAGGCGGCGAGGAGTCTTGGGTGGGCGGCTGGGGTGTCTGGGCGCTAGGGTTGAAGCCACTACGCGAGGGCACCTGGGCCTGGCGCCTGAGTGGCATGGGCGGGGTCGCCTACGAGAAGCTCGACAGCCTCGGGAGCGCCTTCTCCACCCACGCCGAGACGGGCTGGCTGACCAAGGATGGCGGATGGTTCTTCTATGCTCTCGAGAAGTTGGGCCTGACGGTCTTCGGGGCCGCCTGGCCTGCCGTGGCATGGACGTTCATCTTCTTGGCTTTCTTGGCGGTGCTTGCTTTCCTTACTCATATCTGTCGTACTCTACTGGCCCCCTGTGCAGCCGCCCTCTGGCTGATTGGTCTACTGGCGCGGTGCTCCAAGTGCCGCCGGCGAGAGCCTGGCGATGCAGCTGCCGAAAGGTACCTGCCGCCGGCTCCGCCTGCCCTTACCCAGATCAACTGGATGGGGCCAGAGACCGGACCAGCCACGACCACTGAGTATTATAGTAAGAAGGTGAAGGGTCGTGGGACTGGGAGGCGACCCAATGACGTGCTGATCAAGATCGACGACCACGTGGCCCGGCTGAAGATCGACCTTTCGGAGCCCAAGCGGATCGACAGGAAGGGCCTTTGGATAGACTGCCTGGGCGTGAAGGGTGCGAGTTCACGCGCACTTCGCCAGAAGCTGGAGTCGCTCGAGGGCCGTTCCATCCACCTGTGCCGCAACATGGTCTGTAGAGATCAACCTGGAGAAGTTCATTGCAAAGAGTACGCTGCGTTGGATTCCGAGGCGATCGTGGACATCGGTTCCCATGCCAGGTTCACCTCCTGCCGCGGCATCTTCCTGCTTTGGCGGGCCGTCGCCGACCTGGGGAGGGGCACCTGGAAGATTATCGTGTTCCTCTACTGCATCCTCTCCTGCG